CGTTTCTAAGAATTGCAGAGTGTTTCGTGTCAGCGCCTTTCGTGCTCGTCTTAGACGCATCCGAAAAGTACTCTGATAAAGCGCTGCGTGTTTTACAAACGGGTGTTCTCGCTCGAGGCGTCCTCGAGCTGTGGATATGGTAGGGCAACATGCAGCAAACAGTTACATGACTGGGTGTCCTCTCAATGCTTTACACAAGGGGTTCCCGGTTCAGGCATCCTCAATGTGTATGGTCTAAGCCATTGCTTGCACAGTGGTTACCCAAATAAGAGCGGTGCTGTTTCAAGATGGGACTCCCGTTGAACAGTTCTTGAACTTTGTCCAGCCGCCTGCGGCAACTTCCGCCACCGTGCCAGCGTGGTCTCTGTCTGGCGACGTGCGACCACTGCCCAGAGGGCGTGACACCTCGCGTCTCCATTCCTTCAGGGGTTCTCTTACAGCCTGCTCATGCTGTATTCGGGCTGCTTTTGGTCTCTGTGGGGCCGTCTCGGAACCCTCTTGGGCCGTCCAGGGCCCCTCTCGACAGTCTGGGGAGTCGTTTGGGGCTGCCTTGTTGGCATCTGGAGGATGATCGGATTGTCACGGACCCCTGTTGAGGCCCTCTTGGGGCCATCATGGGTCCCTCTTGATTAGTTTTTTTGAACTCTCATTGGCTGCCTTGGGGGCTTTTCGGATCCCTCTAGGGCTCGTTTGGCTTATCGTTGGCTTATCCGGGAGGCCCTCTGAGAACCATTTTGAGCCGAACGGCCAGGGAAACGCAAAACATTGAGCATCCAACTGGTTTCGATGGGTTGTTGAATGGGTTTTGCATTTCTGGAGGGCGTCTTGGTTGTCTCTTTGGTCTAGTGAGGCTCTGTTGGGGCCTTAGCGGCGCTTCTCGGTGACCGTTGAGGGCCTCTTGCGGCATTCGTGGGCCGTCTTAGTTGCGTTGTGGCCTTCGCGGGCCGTCTTGAAAGACTCGGAGAGCCCCAGGGGGGGCATCGTGTGCGATACATGCGAATGAGTGTGAGGAGAGGGGTGGGGGTCTTAGCAGATTTCCGGAAGCCATCAGAGTTTGGCATTCTGCCACACCTCAACGTGCCAGGGGGCTCTTTGGCGGATTATCCTACCTCCAGGCAGCTCATGTTGGCTGGAATGATGTATGTAGGCGACTCCCTTTCAAGCCAGGGCTCTCGTCTGAGTGGCAGGCCTACGTGACGCTCATCTTTCCAGAGGGTACATCCCGTAGTGAAAAGGAGCGCTTTCATTGATTTGTGAGAAGGGGGACTTCGGTTGGCAGAGTAGGGTGGGCGGTGCCTATCGCCCAAGGCTTTCCCATTTCTTCTGACCCGTCAGCTCGACTTTCGCAACAGTGACACTAGTTGAGAGCAGGTCGCTTCAACATGTGCTTCTCTCCTTACCGCCGCGCAGTTTCCGCCCGAAAGTTTGCAACTCCATCGCGGATGGAGACCGCCTGGTGCCGCGCACAGTTATTTTGAGTGTTTTGGTTGGGTCGTTTCCAGATTGTAGTTCTCGCAACAGCATCTCGCACATTCGTGTCATAATTGCCCAGCAGCTACAGGCGTGGAGGGCGGCTCCACTTAAGCAGGGGTGGACCTAAACTGTGTTGTGGCGATTTCGTGGGCCGTTTTCGTTTTGATGTCGTTTTGCGTTAAAGGCAGATTGAAGACAAAACGAAGGAAAACGAAAACAAAACGAAAACGAATAACACCGTTCAGGTTCAGCCCTGCACTTAAGAATGGGGCTCCTCAGCTTGAGAGAGCTTCAGGGCTGGCGACCAGAGGAGTAAACCTGTGCCGCGGGTGCCCAAAAGGACAGAGTTTATTTTTCAAGCGGGCGTCGCGTAGCGGGGACGGCGACAATTTGGGGGGACAGCGAGGGCTGCAGAAAAGGCGCCGTTCAGGGCCCCTAACGTGGCCCTCTAGGGCCCCAAAGGGGGCCTCTGGGGCCCGAAAAGTGACCTTTCCCCATCAAGCGACGACCTACTCTCACGGCGAGGCTCTTCCTGGACACGGTTGAGTTTTATCCCCCCCCCTTCGTCGCTTATTTTGTGCTTCTTTTCACCACGGTTCTCGCGCCCGAACGGCAGGCCCATCTCATCTTCCGAGGGGGCAGCTCACGCGGTTGACCAGGATAAGTGGCAGTGATTTGCGAGGATGGCCGCTAGGCTGCCCCTTTCTCCTCCTCCCCCTCCTTTTCCTCCTTGTAATTCGCAGACTCGACTCTTTCCCGCTTGCCTGGCGGTCCCCACGGCGACGGGGTGCGGGGCCATCTCTGGCGCAGCCGGGCCGAGATGGAGGAGGAGGAGGAGAAGGAGGAGGAGAGGGAGGGGGAGGATATTGATGATGAGGAGGAGAAGGAGGGGGAGAAGGAGGAGGAGGAGGAGGAGCAGCAGCAGGAAGAGGATGAGGAGCAGGGGGAGGGGGAGGAGGAGGAGGAGGATGTTTTTTTTGTTGTTGACTGTCTGGGAGGCATATTGCCTTGCAGCACCGATGATGCATATGGACTTGCTATGATCCCTCCTCCTCGCTAGAGCCTTCGGATCTTTCCTACTCCTCCCCCCGAAGCTCCGCCCTCTTCCCCATTCACCTCACAGGACATCCAATTCTCTCAAGACCCACGACCGCTTCGTAAGCACTTCCCTAAACCTCAGGGAGCTCGGTGGGGGAGGGATTCAGGGAGGGCGGGAGGAGGGGGAGAAGGCCGAGGAGGATGATGCCTTGACGGGAAGCAGAGTGGCTGATTGATTGGCTGGCTGGTTGATTGACTGACTGACAACTGAATCACCAAAGCCGTTCGATGGCAACTTCATTTCCGGGGGTGAGGATATTTAGTTGGAGGTTTTAGGCGAGGTGGTTGAGCATATTTCGTTGGCAGTTTTAAGGGCAGGGGGGTGAGGATGGTCAGCTGGCAGTTTTAGGCCGGGGGCGATTTCGCTGGCAGTTTCAAGCGAGGGGTGTAAGGATAGTTCGCTGGCAGTTTTAAGTGAGGGGGTGAGGATATTTCGCTGGCAGTTTGATTCGAGGGATGTGAGGATATTTCGATGGCAGATTTAAGGCTGCGGGCTGAGGATGTTTCTCTGGCAGTTCCAGGCCAGTGGGTGAGAATATTCAATCGCTTCGCTCATTCCGCCGGCCCGTATTGGTGCACGGCTGTCGAGTGCTTGTGTGATCGTTGTCAATGGGGTTCTGCTGGGCAGTTTTTTTGTGTATGGATGGCTGGCTTTGGGTGATTTCGCAGGCGAGAACCATTCTTTGCCCGCCTGGACCTTCTGTTTCGGAAGGTGGCGGCTTGTGAATACGATCGCAGGGAACAAGACGACATTCTGCAGTTTCCTGTTTGCATTCTTCGGGCCCCTTGTCGCTTGCTGGGGCCTCTTAGGAGCCTTTTGGGGCGTCCGGGAGGCCTCTTGGAGTGGAAGGCTCGGATTTTCGGTTCGTGGTCTCCTTCTTGGGCCTCTCTTGGAGCGCTCTTGGGGTCCTTTTGGACCGTTTTGGGCGCCTCTTGGGCTGTCGTGGGGCTCTCTTGGACGGTGGTGGGCCTCTTTTGGGGGTTCTTGGGCCGTGTAGGGGTGGTCTGGGAAGCTTCTGGGGCCGTCTTGGAGCGTCGGAAAGGCGAAAAGGCGAGGAAGCCAAAAACTTTTTGAAAAACCCAATGAAAATCAATTGGGTTGGCCTCGTGGGGCTCTCTTGGAAAGGGTCGGGGCTCTCTTGGGACGTATTCGAAGCTTCTTGGGCCGTCTTGAGGCCGTGTTGGGCGTCTTGGACCGATCGTTCGGTGATTCGGAACCTTCTTGGACCGTCTTGGAAGCCTGTTGGGGCCCCCTTGGCGCTCTCCGGGGAGCGTGGAAGGCCGCGCCCAGGAGGAAAACCATCTCTGACCTGAGTTTGCCTGGAGTGTCCCGGGACCTTGCCCGGGTACTTTCTGGCCGGGGACCCCCAGGGGCCGCTCCGCGCGCGCGAAGTATAGAGTTATTGTTAACCAGTTACTGGAGATCTTAGCACGCCTCTGGCCCGTTGGGCTGGCGAATTTCGCTGGCAGTTTAAGCGAGGTGTGCGATGATATTTCGCTGGCAGCTTCAAGCGATTAGTGTGAGGATATTTCGCTGACAATTTCAAGCGAGAGGTGTGAGGATATTTCGCTGGCATGTTGAGCCAGGGGGTGAGGATAGTTCACTGAATGGTGTGAGCATATTTCGATGGCAGTGTTGAGCCAGGGGGTGAAGATATTTCGCTGGCAGTTTTAGGCCACGGGGTGAGGAAATTTCGCTAGCCATTGTAAGGGAGGGGTGTGAAGATATTTCGCACGTCGGGAGGTTGAGGATATTCCGCTGGCAGTTTTAGGCCAGGGTGTTGAGGATATTTCGATGGCAGGTTTTGGCCAGGAGGAGCGGAGCGGTAGGGGGAGGAGGATACCGACGTCGTGAAGGGGGGTGGAGGGAATTTGGTGGGGGGGAGGAGGAGAAGAGGAAGATGGGAAGGCGTCGGACGAGGAGGAGGAGCCGGAAGACGAGGGGGGAGTGAGAAAGGGAGGAGGCGGCGGAAGGATGGGCCGGAGGAATTGGACGACGGTGGGGGATGGGTGAGAGGGAGGACGGAGGACAAGGACGAAGAGGGGGTGGCGACAAGGAGGGGGTCGGATGGGCTCGACAGTAGTCGTGGTCGGTGCGCGCATCCACGCGCCACGCGATGCAGTGTTGGGTCTTGCCCTGCCTGGCCCAGCCGAAGGCTACGCATGCAGCGCGGTGCTGCGCCCGTGCACATGCTCGCCCCTTGGCGTGGAGTTGGCGGGGGGCCAAGGGGCGAGCTGTCCGGTGTTTGCGATGCACGCCGCATTGCGGTTGAAAGATGCGGCGGATTTCGAGCCGCTTTTGGCTGCGCGCAGAGGAGGAAGAGGACGAAGAGGCCCCCGCTTCCTTCTGGTCGTCTTGGTTACAGCATCCATGACTTTCAGGGGCGCGCCCGACTTCCTCTCCCTCCGACCCCTCCCTGCCAAACGAGGTACAGATCCTGGAAAACGGCATTGCCCCCTCGAAGGGGCAGGGTACGGCCTACTGCAAGTCGCTCGTGAATGGCATGTGCAACCCGAACCCTGTCGTGGCGACCGCGAACGTGGACGGGAAGGACATCGCGCGTTGGTTTGTCTTTGATGTTGCGAGGATGGAGGCGGGGAGGCGGAGGCGGCGGAGGAGAACGAACAGTTACGAGACCTGCAGCCGTGTTTCCAGGGCCCAGCGTGTAGCGAGCCTTGAGCAAGCGCTGCAGGAAAGCCCGCACAGCGTGGTCGAGAAGGGGGGAATCAAGTTTTGCGCCGTATGTGGAGGGCGCCCAACCAAGGAATTGGGAACGCTGGATTGTCGTGTCTAGCAGTACCCAGGCAAACCCCCTCAATCCAAAGGAGTCATGCGATGTTTTGTGCTCGTGAACTCTGTGGGTGTCGTAAGTATGGGGCTTCTGGCGGAGCGGAGGTAAGCAACAGTTTGCAGAGTCTCTGCCTCCCCCACTGAGTGGGGTAAGAAGATGGTGCCTAAACTCGTAGACAGCCGCCTCCCCCCAGGTCAGAAGGCCTGGCCAGACTAGCTGGGCCAGGGGCATGCAGCAGGGGAACAGCTTTGCAGGCGCTCGTCGTCCCTCCGCTTCCTGTGCGGATCTTGCGGGCCAGAGTGCGCGCCAGGAGAATCCGGGGGTTGACAGACCTCCTGCCCTGACACGTCGATTAGCGAATGGGCCGGTTTCGGTTCGCGAGAGGGCGTCGCGCACGTCATTTTGGCGGGTCCAAGTCCGTCGGTTTCGGTCCCAGGCCGTTTTCACGAGGGGGAGGTTTACTAAAGGGAGGTTTGTCCACCCCCGAAACAAGGTACTCGGACAGAGCACCTCGCTCCTGAGCTGCCCCTAAGTCCAGCAGCTCGTACGCTTTGCATCCGAGGCGGGAATTTATCCATAACCACCGCCTGGGGGATCGACCCTCGCAGACCTCCGCAGGCGGTGGTTTACCAGGAGGAGGTGTACTAAAGGGATGTTTGTCCACCGCCGAGAGAACCATGACGAGAGGGCGGAGGATTGGGCGGCGGCGGCGGCGGAGCCGGATCATGCAGAGGCGGGAGACGGCGGAGGAGGATGTGGAGGAAGGAGGAGGAGGAGGAAGGAGGAGCGGAGGTGAGGAGGCAACGGAGGCGGCGGCGGAGGACGAAGAGGAGGAGGGGGAGGTTTTGCAAAGCTCTTCTTGCAACCTTGGCGGGCCGACCAGGGCCGTCGCCACGCCATCAGAAGGCGGCCGTGACGGCCCACGGATGCATCGGCGAGGAGGCATGGTCATCCGATTCCATCCACTCGACACCCCCTGGGAGTCCTTCACGCGTACAGCGTTCCGCCTCGGAGCCAGATTGCGGCGGGTGAGGAGCGCGCGGCAGGTTGGCAGGATGTATGGACGGCGGCCGCTGAGGGCGGTGAGGGGGCATTGCGGGGACACCAGCTGGAGGGCTGCCAGGAGGAGAACCCTCCTCGGCATGACCTCGTCCTTCCTCCGCGCCAAATCCCCTCGGAAACAGTCGTGGGTGAAAACCACGCCCGTGTCCGCGGCCTCGCGGCCTTGGCCGCGACCCCGCGGATACAAGGCGTTTGTTCGCGGATGCCCCGCGCGGGGTGTATCCGTGCGACCGCATCCACGGGATTTGCGGCTCGGAGTCCAGGCCGCGAAGGCGATGATACGGATATGTTCACCGCTCGTGACAAACCACCCTCGCCTTGGAGCCTTCCCCTTTGGTTGGGCGGTGCAGGGAGCAGGATGAGGATGGGAGGAGGAGGGGGAGGAGAGGGATGAGGAGGAGGAGGAGGAGCAGGAGAAGGAAGCGGGGTTGGAATCTGGATGCAGGCCTTTGTCTTTAGTTCTGTTTTGTAAAAGAAGAAGGACATGATAACAAGACAACATAAGCAGATAGAGAGGGAACATAAGAAAAAGAGGGACAAGTATCACGATCAGGATGAGGATGAGGAGAACAAGGAGGAGGACAATGCATGGATGCCTCACTTTCTGTTCGCTTCCTTATGTAATGGGTACGGTTTGGTTTGATGTTGTGTAGGTTTCTGGGTGTTCCCTTGTGCATTAATTCACGTATTGTGTTTGCTGTGTGGCTTCTGTCTTCGTTGCCGATTGCATTCAATCAACTGGTGTTGTTTCTTGCTTAGATAGTCTTAGTTATTATTGTTGTATGGATTATCTTAGCGCTTCAGTGTTGCATGGGTTATTGGATTGAACCCGTATGTGTTGGTCCTCTCGTTTTTTCCAGTTCGTATGCATTTTGCTTTTGCGGCGTGCCGTATGGACCTAACTGTTCATTGTTATATTGATGTTCGTTTTGTTCCTTATTGTGTGGGTTATCGTCTTGGTTGTTGTTGGATTGACGTTCGTACTGCTTTATGTTGTATGTATTGTCACAGTGTCTTTGTAACCCAACACACCCAAACACTATTTTTACCGTTCACCAACTCATAGCCAACGACATCAACAACGCCCGGGAGGTCCAACAACAATTTACCGAGATGCCCGAAGCGTTTGAAACACTCAAATGCAAAACTAACGAACCGCCAGAGCAGATGCCAACGTTCGCGCACTCCTTCCTGTGCGCGCAAGCGTTGACATTTGTTTTGGCGGTTTGGATGTTTAGGGTGCCCCGCACCTTCATCAGGGATGGTGGCCAGACACTGCTGTTTATGTCTTATGTCGGTACCATTCAGGCGCTTGCATCGTTCAAGGGCGTGGTTTTTTTCGTTTGTTTCTGTGTCGTCTGACATATATCAAGGGTTGTTGGTGTTGTCACCCTTCACCTCTGAGGTTGTTTTGGTGTCGGTGTTTTTTTAATGTTGTTTTTAGCGTTTCATGGGTTGTACAGATGTTGTTCTCTCGCACATGTCATGCGTTTCTTGGTGTTTGACAATGGTTTTGCGCATGCTTCAGCGTGGCCTTGGGTGTTGCTTGAGCGTTCGAGTTGTTGCCAATTGCTCGCTCGAATCGGTTAGTTGTTTTGTGGGCCTCTTAAATTCTTGTTGGTTGTACTCTATGTTTCTGAGAGTGGTCACGCGTTCCTTGTGGCTTTCGCAGCGCTAGCTGATTGATTGAAGTGGCGTTGTGTTGATGTATATCAACCGGGAGCTGTAAGAGCATCCATCGCGCAAGAACCACACCGACGACCTACACCTTCAGGAAACTGCACAACTAATTTACAGCAGGAAACGGCTGGACAATCCATTCGGCAATGCTAATTAAGAGAAGCCCTGCAACAGGAACGCACCTCACCCATATTAGTGGGAAACAACAGCAATCAGCACATAAGTAATCAGTCATAGTATGTCGACACCATGAAATCTTAAGATCGTTCATACAACAGGGAAGTCATGCGATATTCCATGTAAGAGTAAACGGGTACATACATGTATACGAAAAAGGGAATAAGCACACCAGGAAGCACTATGACAACACATTCGCATTAGGAAGCAATCCGGGAATCCATACCACAGGAACACACGACATCTGAACAACGGGAAACCAGCATAGAGTCCATGCGGCGTGCTGGCTCATGCCAAGCACTGCCCCGCGACCCCCGCCCGCCCGCCCGCCCGCCCCTTGCGAGGTGGCCGCTCGGCGCTTGGCGTGGCCGCCGCGGGAGGGCCGCCCCCTTCGGGAGCGGCGGCGCGGCGCTCTCGGCGGCGGCGGCGGGGGCGGCTCGAGCCCGCGGCCGAGCTGATCGAGCTCTACAAGTGCGACTGGCTGCCAAGCTGCAGGCGCGACGAGATGACGCTGCTCGCGATGCGCGGGTGCTCGGCGGTCTGGGGGTCGTCTGGGTCGAAGCCAGTCTAGGCGGTGCTCGACCAGAAGTTGCATGACAAGGCGTTTGCGAATCTGGCGCAAGGTCGCTGGCATTGGCGGCGGCGTGGGAGCGCGCCCATCGCGCCGTCTTCGCACCGATCACCTCCCAGGGGCCGCGCGACGAGAAGCTGCCGGCCAAGGCGGCGCGCGACGAGGATCTGCCGGCCAAGGGCGCGCGCGACGAGGAGCTGCCAGTCGAGGCGGCGCGCAGCGAGGAGTTGCCCCGCGGGGGGGGGGGGGGCGCGACGAGGAGCCGAGCGAGGCGACAGGCGGCGCGCGACGAGACGCTGCACCGAGGCGTCGCAGGGCAAGGGGCAGCTCGAAAGGGGGCTGCATGGCAAGGAACTGCAGGTCGGGCCCGCGCCCGACGGGGAGCTGCCGGGCGAGGCGGCGTCGGGCAAGGGGCCGCGCATCACGGAGCTGCGCGACAAGGGCTGCCGGTCGAGGCGGCGGACGGCGAGGGGCCGCGCGACGTGGGGTCGCCATTCGAAGGCGCGCGCGACGAGGAGCTCCCAGTCGAGGCGGCGAACAGCGCGGAAGGGCTCCACGAGAAGCCGCGCGACCAGGGATTGCCGCTCGAGGCCGCGCGCGGCGCGGAGCTGCTGTGCGAGGCTGTTCGCGCCGAGTAGCAGCTCGACGAGGGGCTGCATTGCCCGGCGCCGCCGGTTAGGGCGGTGCGCGACGCTGAGTTCAAAATCGAGTCGGCGCGGCCAGGAGTAGCCCGTCGCGGGGCCGCGCGGCGCGGAGCTGCCGGTCGAGGCGGCGCGCGCCGCGGGTCGCTTCGACGGGGAGTTGCGCGCCGAGGCGCAGCCGGCTGGCGCGGCGCACGACGGCGAGCTGCTTTTCGAGGCGGCGCGCGCCCAGGAGCCGCGCGGCGCGGGGCTCCAGGGGCCGCGCGGCGCGGCAGCGGCGGCGCGCGACAACGCGGAAGTCGCGCCGGCGCCGGGGTATGACATGAAGCTGCGCGGCCCCCGTCGGGTGGGCAGACCGAGCCGGGGCCGCCGAGGTGGCCGCCGCGCGCTCCGCCAGCGCGGCAGTCGAGGAAGAGGGCGCCCAGCTCATCCGACAGCTGCGGACCGGCTGCGAGCGGTTCGCGCGCGACTGGCGGGCCGTTGTCTCCTGCGGGGGCCGCCTTGCCCTCGGCGAAGCGACCCCCTCGACGAGGGTCGAGCTCCAAGCTGGCCGAGACGAGTGGTCAATCGTCGAGGGCGGGCCCAGCCAGCGCGCCCCGCGGCTGCTGGCGGAGCCCGTCGCTGGCGGGGTCGCC